GAGAGAGAGATGAACTCGTCGGCCTTCTCTCTCCTCCTCATCGCCCTCTTCTTCTTCTTCTTCTTCTTCTTCTTCTTCTTCTTCTTCTTCTTCTCCTCCTCCTCCTCCTCTACTCCAACTACTCATGCCGTCATCGCTGCGCGGCTGCCATGTCAGCACGCACCTTTTTTTTTTAATCTTCTTCTTGTTCTTCTGTTCTTCTTCTTCTTCTTCTTCTTCTTCTTCTTCTTCTTCTTCTTCTTCTTCTTCTTCCTCTCCTCGTCCTCCTCCTCCTCGCCATCTTTTCTCCTCCTCCTGTTCTCCTCCTCCTCTTCTCCTCCTGCTCCTCGCCATCTTTCCTTCTTCTTCTTCTCCTCCTCTTCCTCTTCTCCTCCTCTTCCTCTTCTCCTCCTCTTCTTCTTGGTCAGTCGGGAGTTGGGACCTCCTCCTCCTCCTCCTCGATCGGGACCTCCTTTGTCGTCGGGACCTCTTCCGTCGGCGGGGCTTCCTGCATCGTCGGGACCTTCTCCGTCATCGTCGTCGTCGTCGGAGGAGGTCCCGACCGACCAATCAATCAATCAATCAATCCCGTCGAATCTATTGATTCGATCTTGAAAGTTCAAGATCCTGTCGAATGAATAGATTCGACGGGATTGATTGATTGATTGATTGATTGATTGATTGATTGGTCGTTCGGGACCTCCTCCTCCGACCACGACGACGGAGGAGGTCCCGATTGAGGAGGAGGAAGAGGAGGAGGAGGAGGAGGAGGAGGAGGCGGAGGGAGAGGAGGTCCCGACGACGGAGGAGGAGGAGGAGGAGGAGGAGGAGGAGGAGGAGGTCCCGACCGACCAATCAATCAATCAATCAATCAGAACTCTTCTCCTCCTCCTCCTCCTCCTCTTCTCCTCCTCTTCTTCTTCTTCTCCTCCTCCTCTTCTCCTCCTCCTCTTCCTCTTCTCCTCCTCTTCTCCTCCTCCTCCTCCTCCTCCTCAATCAGGACCTCCTCTGTCGTGAGGACCTCTTCCGTCGTCGGGACCTCCTCTGTCGCCGGGACCTCCTCCGTCGTCGGGACCTTCTCTGTCGTCGTCGTCGTCGTTGTTGGACCGACCAATCAATCAATCAATCAATCAATCAATCAATCAATCCCGTCGAATCTATTGATTAGACAGGATCTTGAACTGTCAAGGTCCTGTCGAATCAATAGATTCGACGGGATTGATTGATTGATTGATTGATTGATTGATTGATTGGTCGGTCGGGACCTCCTCCTCCGACCACGACGACGACGACGATGACGGAGGAAGTCCCGACGGTGGAGGAGTTCCCGACGACGGAGGAGGTCCTAATTGAGGAGGAGGAAGAGGAGGAGGAGGAGGAGGAGGAGGAGGAGGAGGAGGTCCCAACCGACCAATCAATCAATCAATCAATCAGAACTCTTCTCGTCCTCCTCCTCCTCTTCTCCTCCTCTTCTTCTTCTTCTCCTCCTCCTCTTCCTCTTCTCCTCCTCGCCATCTTTTGTTGTTGTTGTTCTTCTTCTTCTTCTTGTACTTCATCATTTTCTTCCCTCCTCCTCGTCAACCTCCATCTCTCATTCCTCTACTTCTTCTTTTTCCTCCTATCGTCTCCATGTCGGTTTTTTTTTTTTCTTTTTTCTTTTTTTTGTATCTTTTTTCTTTTTAGACATTTCCGATTCTTACACCCTTGCACCCTGTCACGTCTGTGCGGGGACCACAGCCGGCACTGCAGCAGGAGGATGTGCATCGGCCACCCCAAATGCTGCCAACGACAGGAGCAGCCACGCCAACTCACACACAGTATGTCGCAGTCTGTGTGACAGACTGTCTGTCACAGTCTGTGTGACTGACAGTCTGTCACAGTCTGGTGGGCAGCACACCGACTGTGACAGAGTCTGTCCAGCAGGGGCACACAGACTCTGTCACACTCTGTGTGTGCTGCCCACCAGACTGTGACAGACTGTCGGTCACACAGACTGTTGGGCACAGTCTATGTGTGCTGCCCAACGGACTTTCTGTCACAGTCTGTGTGTGCTGCCCAACAGACTGACTGTCACAGACTGTGATAGAGTCTGTCACATATAGGTCAGTCTGTTGGGCAGCACACACAGACTGTGACAGGCAGTCTGTGTGTGCTGCGTGGGGGGACGGAGTGGATCTGGTGGGGGGAAGTACAATGGCAGAACAGAGAACCCCCCCCCCCCTACCACATCAGACACCGGGGAGGTTCAGGGGCACCACCTATGCACCTGTCTCTTATACACATCTAGATGTGTATAAGAGACAGATCCAGCATAGTGCAGGGCAGCTCGGCTATGGCT